AGTGAGCGAGTGAGCGAGGGAGCGAGAGAGCGAGGGAGTGAGTGAGTGAGTGAGTGAGTGAGTGAGTGAGTGAGTGAGTGGGTGAGCTTCATGTTGCGCACGGTGGGATGCGCAACAAGCCATGCCTACCGACCCCTCCCGGCTTCGCAGGGGGCTCCGCGAACGTCATCGCCGTATCCACTTGGAGTTCACTCTGGCGATCTGCTTTCGGTCTTAAACGGTCCTCTGGCTAGCCATCACTCCTTTTGCAGTCTAGGGTTTACTCGGAACATCACGCCTTCGGTCATGGCTTTTTCGACGGCCCTGACTCGGCCACCCTTCCCTCTTTCTCTGGTGTTTGGGCCCTCGAGTCATGAAAGTCAACAGTGAACATGAAGAAGCCAAGCCAAGTGTACCAGTGCAGATGCAAGGCCCCCACCGTCTTATCATATTTGCCGGCCGGCTCCGGCGGCAAGGTCAGTCGGTGCGACCTCATGCAGCGTGCACTGAAACGTTTCCTTCCCACAGCACGCCCCGTCCCCGTCCCACCCCATCCCGAGCGGAATGCCTCTGTGTCTGCATCGCGATCGGCTGGGGCTGCGTCATCGGCTGCGTCATTGGCTGTGTCATGGGCTGCACCATCTGCTGTGCCATGGGCTGTGCCATGGGCTTTTGCGGTGAAGGCATGGGCGGCGGAGGCTGCTGCACCACTGGCAAGGGATGGGCCTGACAGCAAAGGCTTAGACACAGGAGCAAAGGGTCCAGCCGAAATCCCAGGCCTGCACCATCGAGCCCGCAGCTGACTGCGGCATGTGCCGCTCCCGGCGGATGGTCTCGCAAGAGGGTTTAGGGATCCCCGTCGGATGCTCTTGGTGCTACTCCCGAGATGCCGACCTCGAGGTCTGAGGCATTCTGCTCCACCTGTCCCCAAATTTCAGTGTTTGGGCAACGACGTCGGTTGGAGCCGTACCCGGGCGGGTCTCTCCGCACTTTGCTGAGCTTCAGCTTGAAGGCTCTGGCCGAGACTATGGTGGTGGCGGTTTGGGGGTCGAGTGTTCGTCAAACCAACTTGGGCGGTCTGGTACCATGAACACCGTTGATATACTTCTGAAGTTTGGCCGTGGATGCTAATAACAAAGCAGCACGTGCTACCGCGTCCACTTTCGATTCCCATGCCAGATCCTCGTTGCCGTTTGGCTCTGGCCCCACGCGGTGTTTCAGATTCGAACTCAAGGGAGCAACTCCGGCAAGTCGCGCCGTCTCTCGTGCGCAGCTGACTCCGCGCACCTGCATCTTCACCTGCCGCAGTTCGTACCGCAAGGACTCTTGCCCATCCAAGAGCTCCTGTGCCAATCTGGTCAGGAATTTGCAACTTGTTTGGGCGGCCCCATGCAAAGCTCTCGAATCTCCCTCTGTGCCGTGAGTAAAACAGTTTCCATGTTGGCAGCCTTTGGCAGCCCCTATTAACTTACTAACTGAGCGGCTCACTGCCTGCCTGTGAAGTTGTACGTACCAGAGACTGTTTGCAACTTTCAAAGTACTTACCCCTCGCCGAATTAGACTACGCCTGTGCAAGGCAAAGACTTGCCAGAGAGTAACTAGATGGGAATGGGGATCGCTCTCCAAAGCTGCCGTGCTCCTGGATCTGTGTTTCCAAGCTCTGCACGGAGAGAGGCCTCGTGAGCTGCACACCAACAACTCGAATGCACCCTGGTGTAGGCGTCTAGTCACAGCATACAGCTCAAGAATCCCCAGCACGCGCACACAAGACACTGTAACACGAGCGAACTGGTGACTGCATCCTGAGCGGAGCAGGGCGATTCTCGCAACAAACGCTACACGCTGCCCGGCACAAAACTCTCTCCATCGAGGTTCTGCGCAGCCAGCTCTCGAACTTTCCGGTCGTGGGCTTCGATCTCTCTGTCGAGGCGATCTGCTTCCTCACACTTCAGAACTTGAATTCAACTCGTTCGGAGAGAGGCGTTTGTCATTGTACGAGGTCCTGCATGTGCGCCCCCTGCATGTGCGCCCCCATCGACTGCGGCGCGGGGAAGGCTGAAACATCGGCGTACTCTCCCGGCATGTCATAGCCCTGCACGAGAACAGGGTAACTATGCAGAAGGAGTGCAGCGCTGCTTTCCATTCCCAAAACAGCTACGAGTACGTGAAAGCGGGACCTCAACCAAACACAGCATCGACCAGACATGATCTCTGCGGCCGGTAAGTTTTAAACCCATTGCTCCGGCTCCTTGTGGTAGTTGCTCGTCGAGTCTACCGGCGATGGAGAATCAAAGTAGTCATCCTTGACGAACCTGGATGAACACACACAATAACAATTCCGTAAACTGAATGCCCAAGGCGCCCTGGTGACACGGACCTGTTCACAAACGCCCCTCCAGTTTGTGAGATTCTCGTTGCAAACGATGCATCTTGCTTGGACTGCGAAACCACATGGCATGCATCGCAACCTGCCCTTCAACAGCAACTCAATCTGAGCTCATGGATAGTCGCCCGCTTGCATCGTATGGTGAGCTATTTCCATTTTTTCCAAGACAAACACTGTTGCTTTCTGGTCCACCTCCAGAAGAGCTGCTGTGCCAGTTGCATTTGGAACTTCCAATGGACCGAGGACGTCGAGTGCATGGGAGGGGCTGCGGCCATAGCCATAGAGAACCGACATGCACGGAGAAGAGCTCCCGTGTTGGTCGTATGTACTTGTTGGTTGCTGTCCGGGATCCAGCTGTCATCCGCCAGAAACCGCGTCGACGGATCTTCGTCATGGCCAGGACACGAAGGCTTATGCTCTTGGGAGGACTGTGTAAAGCCGAGCGACTTGAACTCGAAGGGAGGCAAGCTGACACCGCCCGGGAGATTACCTTCACCGAGAAGGCGCGGCATACACAGCTCAGGCCACGCACCTTGCTACTGCAACACCTCAGAACTACAGACTTCGTGCTTGACTTGCGGCCGGCCTTGGCCATAGATATATGCCGAGTTCGTGCGGCTGGGGACCTGGGACAGGAAGAGCAAGAGAGAGCTGAACGAACACGTAAAACGACGCCACCGTCACCCTGACAATTGCAAGAGCTCGTGTTGCATTCATTGAGGATGGCTGTCGTCTGCTAAACCCTTGGCCATAGGCCATGTAGGACACTGGAGGCGTTGAGGTTGTCGTGTAGGTCAGCCCCGTCACTCCAGGCCTGCTCACAGAGGTAAAGACAAGCACTGCAACTTCACAGCTTCGCAATTCTGAGACTTCGCTCAGACCAGTAGCGACACTCGTTCAGAACCGCCCACAGCAGCCCAGCCCGGCTTTGATGTCGAGAGCGGCACGGCGACGAATGGGGAAGAGCTTGCAACGGGAGCAGCGAGCGGCAGGGAGCCATACGCCAAGCCCTGACACAGCTGGAGGGTGTGTTTGGGATGAGACCTCTTGTCGTTTTGGCCGGTTTCTAGAATGCGAGACTACCTGAAGGAGACTACCTGAAGGCAAAAGACTGAAACATCAGGAGAACACTGCCAAGGCCCTGACGCTGTTGGTACTTGTCTGCGTGACCGTCAAGGGTTGGTTGCTAAACCTGCCAGCAGACATCACCCAAAACAGGACTAAACAAAAGGAAACCGAGATTGCTTTCTGGGCACCCGATGCCGCCATGTGACGTCGGGATCTCGCCAAGAAGTGTGCCCATGGCCATGGTGGCGTTTTGCGGCGAACCTTGCATGGCTGCATGATCCATGATCCATAACGTCCATGATTGGAGAAGCAGTCCACATCACATGAAGCCGACAGAACCAAAACCTCTCAATCTCGGGCAGCCCTGCGATGAAAGCTACCTGGACTGATGACTGTGCTGGCCTGGGAGATGCTCGATATGCCAGCAAAATCGATCACGCTGCGAGCCAGTGTCGGCTAAAGGCTGGCACTGCAAAGCTTCCAGGGCTACAAGAAGATGGCAATCAGCACTCAGTCACAGGTCAGGGTTGACCCCATGCCCCAGAGAAGTTCATGTGGTCTCACTTCCTGGAGGGCCCCCGCTCGTAGTCATACTCGTAGCCATCGTTCCCATCATCCTGACTGGACCACCAGTCCTTCGGGGAGTGGACCACCCTCTAACCCCCAACAGAGATCAGCTCAGATCAAGACGGGCATTCGGATCGGCATACAAAATGACTTTGGACAAGCCGATGCTGCCTCTTTCTTCTCCGAGGGGACGGAGGCCTGAGGAGGCGCTTTCACTGGCTGAGCTCTATTGCAGCGGCTGGACAGGATGCATCCGTCTATCTCAAACCAGGCTGCTGGAGGTCGCCGCAGCTGTGAGATGAGAGTCTGACCGTGCAGGGGCATAGTCAGCATGGTCTTTCACACACTGGAAATCTTGACGGAAAATGGCTGGAGCTTGGCGTCTCCGCCCACACTGCTCACAGCTACTCATGGCCCATATGGTTATTCCTGCACATTGTACCGCATGCCTGAACTCCCTGATCGACTTGGGCAACATGTCCAGGGGGGGCATGGGGCCTCGAGCAGTTCAGGCAGCAAACTCACCAAAAACTCTGCTACTTCTGGGCATCTCACGTCAGCGCGGTCAGCGTGCGGCCCAGAGCCTCCCAGACAAGAGCGGTATCCACGGTGTGGCAGTTGTTCAGCTTTATGCCTGCATTGCTGCTTTGAGCACCCCAGAAGGCGCAGATTCTTCCCGCCTCGATGCTTCAGCAAAGGGTAGCTCCAAGCTTGCTACATACAGTCCAATCATGTCCAATCGCAATGCGTGAGAACCTCTCGCCCATGCACTGACCGGTACGGGATCAGGGCGCGATCATCTCAAGCAGCAGCACCAGGGCAGCCTGCCGCGGGCCAGCACAAATTCTGCGCCATTGTACGCCTCCATTTTCGGGTTAACACGTGACTCCTCCAGTCACGTGCCCTCGATCTCGCGAGACACAGCGATCGCAATTCTGACAAGATCGGGCTCCACCAGAAGGCTCCAAGATGACTTATGAAACGTGAGCCCTTGCCTAAGCGTGATGCAGGGCATTGTGTTGGTTGTCGTGCGGCTCTGTCCACTACGACAGGAAAGGACTGACGTGTTCGACTTCGAAGGTGCTCGTGTCATTAGTTCAGGTTCAGCTGGGACGTCCGCCTGGCACAAGACAGGCCCCCTGCTCAAAAAACACAATTGAAGTTCTCTGTCTTGCAGAACCGCCGATAGCCCCACCAACAACCCCTATGAAAAAGCTGCCAGTTGCAAACTACGGTGTTCGGCAGCCAAGCCCAAACGATCCGACCCCATCCCACAACGGAAACATCAGGCTCTACGACTGGTTGATTAGGTATCACTTGGTATCACCACTCGCCACGGCGGTGAGCGTCATGAGTCATTGCACACACTGCAACCGTCAACACCATGTTGCAGCTCTGAGACATCGACAAGAATGTCTTGCGGATGAGGTTCCAAGAATGTTCGAACAGATGTACGATAGGGTTGTCTACACTCGGTCCACTGCGGCCCCCACCGGTAGTTGCTTCAGCTCCTCCCCGTCACCGGCACGTGCTGCACACCTTGGTGACATGCCGCGAGGAACCAATGCCAGCATGTTCACAACGTGACACTGACCGGCAACAAATGTCCGGCAGTTTTCCGCAGGCCTCTCGCATAAAGGTAAGAGGTGTCGTCATACAGTACGATGAAGACTTGTTACCAACCATGCAACCAGCACAGTGTTGCAACATGTGCAAAACGTCTTGCGAAGTCATCCTCCGTCTTTTTCTCTCCGCGAAACGATGTCAAGCCAATTAGACAGCTCCTCTTCTGCTCTATACATGGCACGCCACTCGTGGGTGCAAAGCGGGAACGTCGAAAATTGGACTCCTTCTAGCTACGGAGTCGAAGATCCTAATGAACTAAGGGATTGGACCGGCGAATGCCCTTCTTGTGTTTCCGTATCGTTGGTTGTCGGAATCAAGATTTTCCGAGCCTGCCCTCGCGACAAGCCATGCAGCTCACTTGGGTTGCTCGTGTGCAGTACCCTTCGTGTCTCAGGCTTCTCGGGTCTCCTCTCGGGCTGCACCTTGGCGAAATGAATCGAAAATCATAGGTTTGGTCGGGGATCCTTGCACGTTTGCAGCTGAAAGCGCTGTAGTAGCCCCAAAGGATGCCCAAGAGCACCACCTCGGAAAAAAGAGCAAAAGAGCCCAACTTTTTTCGCCTCCGAACCTTCAGAGCCGGCCTGGAGGAGGCCGCGGACTGCATGGAACTCCTGGGACTGGGCGCACGGGTGTTGGGGCCTAAATTCTACTAGAACTAGAATAAGGAACCCCAATATAGTAGGGGCCCATTCTACTAGAACTATAATAAGTAACCTCCCAATATAGTATAGGCAGTATAGGTAACTTGTTTAGGCCCCTAGTTAAGGCTTCAGATGTGCTGTGCTTCAACACACCCGGTCCACTGGGATAGGCTGGTCGCCGGGCGTGAGACCTGCACGAACTGGCAAGTAGGAAGCAACACGGAAAGGGAGAGCTGGCCGGACGGCCTATCATCTGAGCTCCATGGGTGTACATGTAGATGTTCGCAGGAGTTACCTCAAAGAAGTAGATGAAGAAAAGAATGCACACGTCAGGCCGTCAAGCCAAGTGCCGACAAGCCACTGCCCAAGTCAACGCAAAGAGGCCCAAGGCTGAGAGCCTCAGCAACTCCAACGCTGTCAGCCCTCAACCCCACTGAATCGAATTGTGCACAAGCCGCTCTACACAAGCCCTTGGGGCTACGAGCTGAGCAATCTACATCTTCTTTTTCAAAGAAATCTGATGGCCATCGCCTTTCGTGCCTTGTGGATGTCTCACACAAATTCACAAATGCAGGCCCAGTGTCGCAGGAATGGAGCGCAGAACTGCCGGCAGCTCCCAGTTGAAGGCCCCTGCGCTGAAGCTGCATGTCGGCGTTCACCTTCCCACTTCACCCGCCTGCCAGTCCCAGGAGCAATGACCCCAGGAAGAGGCCAGAACCCCCGGCAATCTCCGCGACACCTGCCAACTGTCACAATCGCATACAATCGTTATGCAGACCTGATTTACTTGAGCCTGCCTGTCCACGCCACATGGAATTCTGCGCTTCCAGGCAAGTACCAGAAGCCCCATGTACCTGTATCAAGAACGGGATAGGAACAAGCAACTGGAAAAAGCAAAAAGCGCTCGGAAGTTTGCCACTTTTCAGGTGATGTCTATCTGCCGGAGATCAGCATCATATGTTCCATAGACGTCTTCCCCCTCGTCCCGGCGCCTTGAGGCGGGTAGATGGCTTCAAAGGCATCCGCCGCAGTGAAGTGGGCGACACCTCCCCATCACAAGGAAACGGCCGAGGCAACAACGTCAACCCTGAAGTACCTACTCGGAATGTCAACAACTGTTGGTGCTGCAGATCCTCGTCACCATGAGAACAAACCTTCGTCAAGAACTGCAGTCTGTGAGTCTGCCCTCACACTTGGTTCGGCCATGCGGGTTCTTTTGCACCAAACAACATCAAAAACAACCCAAACATGTTTGATCTGTGCAGGGGGTCGGCTCGTGTTCTTGTGGCATGTGTCCGAGTACCCAGTTCTTCTTACCTGGCATTCTTTCGGGTTGCCTTGACTCTCGGCAGCCTCAAACTCAAATTGCCACCAGGGCAAGGCCCGGAACATGGCCTGCGGCCATATAGAAGGCACCCAAGATCGGCCACGTCTTTCGCCAGGTCTTGAACCAGCCCTCCGGGAGAATTCCTGGCCCAATTCCAGGAATGCATGAACCCTTCTTTCCGGCTTTCTCCTTTGTTGGGTCCCCTGGGTCCTTGCAGGAATCCGAAGATGGGCCCGACTAAGGCAACTGTGCCGGCAGCGAGGCCCAGGAGGAGAGAAATCACCACGGCAGCCTCTGCAAGGCTTGTCATAGCAGTCACTTGTGCCCATTGGGCTCCTACATCAGGTGTTTCCTAGAGTCTCGTATGGCGATTTTGAAGCTGGCCCCAAGATTGGAGAGCTCCCCAGATGAACAACATGAGCACCGCATTGGCCTGCTCCGCGTCAGGCAACGTGTTTATGCCGCTTGGTGCTGGAGGAAGTGCCTGAAGCAGGGCCATCTAGGAATCTATAGTACAACTCTCCAGCACCACCTTGCCCACACAAACCATGAACAGCAGGCGCACCCGCTGCCTCAGCCACGGCGCTGCAGCTCGCGCCAAGAACAGCGCCACATGCAGCTGCAGCTGGGCGGACAGAGGAAGAATCCTCGGAGACAGAGTGGGTTGCTCAAAGCGTGCAGCCTTGGCATTGCCTTCAGAGTGCAACTGCTCCATCACAGTATGATCTTGAAGCTGCAACATGACATCCGTGCGAGTGTTCACCAGAAAATCTACTTCATCCGATTGAAGCTGGCTAGAATACGAAAACATACAGCCCGTCTCCAGTGCACCGGACATGCAACACTCCTGGTCCACCGTCGGGGCGGGGACAAAGCTCTGACTGTGGCAGAGAATGCAAGTACCGCAGGCCGTGAGAACCTCAGATTCCGCACGTGCGCCCCTAAACCCTCAATTCGCATCACTTGCCAGATTGGATGCCGTGCATGCTGACGAGGCACGAAAGCCGCACGAGCTTTGCGCACTCTGGTACGCAACGTGGTGTGCGGCGCCATGGCGACCAGCACTCGGTGAGAAGATTCACAGCCGATGGGCCGGATTGGATTTAAAGGCTGGACTATCTGGCCTGCTTATGTGCTGTGCTCGCAATGTGTTCGACGAGTCTCAGTCCGAAGTTGAAGCGTAAGCCGGAATGGGGCACAGCACCCATCATCGTTCCACACTGACCGTGCCCACTGCTGTAGAGGACCGGCCACACTTGCTTCAAAGGCAAGGTGGTGAGGGCAGTGCTCGGCCACCGCGTGCGCGCCGCCGCTCAGCACGCTGGGCTTGCCCGGCCTCGGGAAGTTGGATGCTAGCAGGGCCTACGTGCAGACTCCCTTGGATCCTGCCGACTTCTCAGACGTCACCGGGAGTCTGGCCCACAATGTCTCATGGCCTGCGAAAGGATACAGGGAAACATGCCCTAAGCACAAAAAGCTGAAGCATAGCGATAACCGATTTCTCACATGCGTTGCCATCAAAGCGGTGGCCGTCGCAGGATGGCGCAACAATCCCGACTCTCTCCTGCAGAACGTCTTTGAGACCGCCGATGGCCCCAAGAGCCCACATGGCTGCCTTGGTCAAGGCGATGCCAGAAAGGCGAGGCACAGAACAGCCGCCTGAAACAACTGTTCACCCTGCAAAGACCGCCTCTGCATCCGCTCCGTCGCCCTGCAGACCCTCCTGTTCAGACGGGAAGCAGAGGACTGTCAATTCAAAACCGACCATGCCATGGCTCATGGCTCTTCCTGAATGCAGATTTCTCGGCTTCGGTCCACTAGTCTGCGCATGTCCTACAGCCTACATCCCACCTGCGCCAGCGCGGGACATGCACCCGCGGCCTGCAGTGCCTCATAGTCGTGCATCCAGGGCTCACAACTGAAGCGTCGGACTCAAAACGGCAGTGTGCCTGCTGGACTGCAAGCTAAAGCTGTTAGCTGGCTTGCTGCCGTCCAAGTTGCCTGGACTGCCTCGGGACTTGCATCCGCAAGTGCGAGCATCAGGCAGGCAAGGACCTTGCGGATGTCCTGGCGAGAAGAAATCGGTAGCTTCTCTCGTTGCGGCTCTTCCCGGCCTGGCCGGTGGGACCGGCTGCTCGTGGCGAGCGGAGCAGCTGCACTAAGATGTGGCAACCTGCACAATTCACGAGTTCGGAGAAGCTCCGAGTTCAGGAGTCGGCCTTGGTCGCTTACCAGGAAGCTGATTCTCGGCTGCTCGCACGTAACGCGGCAAAGATCAGAACGACTTCGGAACACAAGTGGAGAACACACACTCCGGTAGTCGATCAATTCATCCGGGCATCCTTTGACTGTCTTTTCCACTTTTTGCCCGATCTCCCACACTGCTCAGTCCAGCGAACGAGATCACTCACAAAAGTATTTGCATGGGCGGTTGCAAGGTGAGTGGGGTTTTAATCAAAGGACAACCAAAACCACAAGTGACAAGACTAGTAGATGATCACAAGTCCACTGAACTACCAGATGCATCTTTAGTTTCCTTTGAGACCTGGTATGGATGATTGTGTTGACAGGCGGGGTGGCAACCTCATATGTACAGCCCTCGATCACATGTGAGACAATAGAAGCACTTATCGCTTCTGCATGGTGCGGCTCTCTGAAAGAGAGAGGCCGCGGTCGTACCATCTCTGGCGGACACGTCCACGGGCCAAGCAAGCAGGCGCCTACCTTCGTAGATTCCAGGTATTCTGTGAAGCGGATGGCAACGTGCTTCCGAACTCGCAGCCTTGTTGGCATCAAAGGTTGAAGCCCGCTGCCTGTCAAAAATGCAGGTTTCTCCAAAGGCACATACCTGCAACCCCGAATGCTTCGCTCTCGGCTCCTTGAGACGTGGTGGCATGGAGGCCAGGGAAGGCTGCTGCGGCTGCTTGGGGGTCTCGGCAGGTCGCAAAGCCGAGGCTGGAAGCTCGCTGGAAGCTCGCTGGAAGCTCGAGCGGAGCTCATCTGAGGCTATGGCCGAGGGCTGGGAGTTGGTCTTCTGCGACCTGCGATCTGCAACTCGCTGCCCAGCATCCCAGGCCCATGCCGTGCTGCCGCTGCCTGGGGCTCGGGGGCATGGCCGAGAGCGCCTGGCAAAAGGTGCGTGCATCTTCTGGAAACTCCAGAGCGAGGGTGGGTTGCCGTAGATGCGGAGAGGATCTGGCTCTCTAGCCAGTCTCCGGCCACCCGCTTCACCCATGACTTCTCTGCAAGCCTCTGACAAGCGAAATCGTGTGTCTGTCTGCACTTGTTGTTCTATGCGTACATGAACAGATACAGGAAGAGCAGTTTGCCATTGTGCCTTACGTGTTTCGTTCCACCCGTCCCACATCCCTTGCATGCTGAAAGCTTTGACAGGAGCACCGTCGTCGCAGGTCGCTGTGGCGAAGCCACCTTGGGGCCCTCCACCGACCGGCCTGATGTTGGTGACTTGCTTTCGGAATATCTTGCTTTCGCGCTGTTTAGGAAGAGCTGCACTTGCATTGCTTATAAGCCGGCTCCGAGGCTGCAGTAACTCCAAGGCTGCGGCTTTTGCCTATCGGCAGAGAAAGGCTTTCCTGTGGGAACGAAGCAGCTTCAACACCAACTGTGATACGCATTCTTCTGCGTTGCCACAGATTTGCTACAACCCCCAGCGCCTGACCACGGGCCATCGCGTGCCTCGCAGAACACTCACAAGACGAGAGGAATGGTGAAGGATGTCTTGAGAAGATACAGAGAGGAAGTCGAAGGATCAGCTCCCTTCGTGCACTACAAGTATCGTGTAGTCGGGGCCTGCAGCCTTGCAATCTTGCCCTTCCTGCAGGGGCTCCGCGCTGGGACTGGAGCTCGCCCTGGCGGATCGCGCGCTCGAACTCCGCACGGGTGATGCTGCCGCTGCCATCCTCTCAGGTGCAGCAAGTCAATTGTTCGACGTAGACCGCAAGAGAATCAAAACAGCTTGGAACCAGCTCTCCTTGTCAAGCTTCGCAAACAAATCCTGCGCAGAAAAGCCGGATCCAACTCGAGGCCAAACAAAGATCTTCGTTGCATTAAAGGGGCCCCTAAGGAGAACTGGGCCCCGAACCTTGGACGTTCCGGGAGCTTGGCCGGCCTCAGGCTTCACCTTGGAGAGGTGACGCACAACCACCGCCTCCACTGCTATTGGAACAGAAGACGGAAGAGGACCCCAAGTCTGTGACCGGACAGGTGCTCTGAGCTTCGCACCGGTTGAGGAGGCAATGACTGAGCAAACTGTACCAGAGGAGTGCTGGATGGGGACACTACCTTAGCTGCGAGTCGCAGACTCACAAAACATGAAGCTCCATCACTTCATGGAGCCCTGACGGCGGCATGCGTGTTCTAGCACTCGCGGTTCACAAGCAACAAGCTCCCTCCGAGAGCCTCACGGGCTGCGGAGGAACAGTGGCTGCGAACTGGGACAGGACTCCGCTTGGGGATTGCGCCTGCAAAGCCAGGTTACAGGCACCTTGTGCAAAAGAATGTCTGCCAGCCCAGAGTGTAAAGTTGCAAATAGTCAACTCCGAGCCCGTCCCAACTGCACCTGAGGCGACATGGGCATCGAAATCTGCGGCGCACTGATTTGTGCCGATGGCTTCACCTCCAGCCGATGTGCACAATGAGCTGTCTCATGGACCTTGCCACAGCAATTTGACGAGAATCTTGGGTCAGTGCCGGCTGGGGCCAAATGATTGAAGGGCTCTGCGCCACCTTCGACGGCTCTGACAGAGGCCAAGTGGGAACCGCCCATCAATCTAGATGCTGACTCTGTCGTGTAACGGTAGCAAGCTCGCACAGCCTGTGTTCGCATTTGCCCTGGCGCCTCAAGTCTTATTCGCGCGTCTCTCCCAAATCCTCCGAAATTCCACCCAAAACGAACCGACTCTTCCAGGCCCGTCCTGCGTCTGCGGAGCCGGGCTTTGCCTGTGAACTCGGCGCTTCTGGGTGTTCTTTGCTGCCTTCTCTGGGTCGCGGGCGGAGACATCGCACCACTCCGCAGGGCTGCCTCGAACTCTGCACGGGTGATGGAGCCCGTGCGATCCTGAGCAGCTGTGTGCTTGCAGCTGTGCGCCAGAGAAAAACCCCTCCGTGCTATGGTATCTTGCTGGCCTTGTCTATTCGGGAGAAGAGGTCGCTGCTGAGAACTTTGGCTCGGCTTTTGCCGGTATCCTGTGGATTCCGGATGGTTTTTCCCGAGAAGCTGCTCTCAACAAACTGTCGTCGACGTCCTGCCTCAGGCTGCAAGCTCCCTACTACGTCGTCCTCCTCGGTGCCTCACAGCTTCTGTGTCTAAGGCTTAAACCGAGCTAAACGGGCTGAATTGCAGAAAGGAGGCCCCTGCCTTCCTGCAAACGAAGTGGTGACCATGTGTCCTCATGATAGAATGGCAGAGAAACGTGGCGATCGCTCCACTGCTCCGCTCCGCGTGCCTCGTGCAGCTCCTGCGCTCGAGGCCACCAGGGCCTCGACGTCAGTCGGCTGTTTTGCAGTTCTGGCTCTCAGATGTCATGTCTCAGTGTACTCCTACGGCGCTCACGCCTCTCTGGCAGAGGGAGACCATCCCAGGGCCGAGAATGGACCCAAATCTTTCCGTTCAGGCCCTTTCCCAGCTGCAGCGGCAGCCTCGCGAGGCGCTTGAAGCTGCGCTCTTCGAGATGCCGCAAAGTTCCCAAAAGCCTCCCCTCGGCTGAGCTCGCGGCTCCACGGAGACTTGTCCGGAATGCTCTGCGGCGCCTGAAGGGCTTCCAATTTCACATGCCTGTCTTGCGCGCCTAGTGCCTTTTTCATCGTGGATCCATGTGCCATTCTGACAGCTTTGATTCGGCCAAGAAACGCCACAGGCTCTGAGTGCCAATGGTACAGTGGCCGAGGACGCGGTCCCAGGTGTCAACGACCTGAGCTCTACGACGCACGGTGTTTTCGCAGGTCAGATGCACTTGGCCTCGAAGCGTGTGGAGAAGGAAGCGCGCGGTAACAGCAAGAATCCTCATCGAGAGCTTTCCGGAAGCTAGCTGAAAGCAGGCTACGCGGCTACATGTCTTCTTACTTGCGCTCGGATAACAATACCAACTCAAGTGTGAAGCACTCAGACTTGTTCTTCTGGCGTGCACTCCTGCACCTACACCATTACACTCTGACTCTGATTTGCTTCCAGAGTCGTTCGTTCCAGACCGGCGTGTTGAAGGGCCGCTTCTTCTGAAGAGAGGTCTCCTTGGTCGTCTCTGCTCACTGGAAAGGCTCGCAGAAAAGATGCTGTTAGGTGAAGTGTCCAACAATCCTCTTGTACATGCAAGACCAAGAAGCTCCCACATTTTCCCGGTCCATGAAGATCCTGATGCCAGCGCTGCAATGGCTTTCATTGAGTCTCTGGTATAGGATACCACTGAAGGACACGCCCCTGCAGTCATCCCACATCCCACGGGCCACATGTCAACTGGCCATGGGCTGTGGCCCACGGCAATCCGAGGCTCCGAAGCGGGCCTCACAAAAGTAGGCGTTGCTGAAGCCGTGGCCTGCAGACTAACCATGGATTCCTTGATGACAAACGGCGAGATTGCAGTGCGAGCAGAAGCCACTGGCCTTCATGTTCGCATCGCCAACGACTACCTTCCCGTGTCTGCTTCTCGGCAACGCTGTGGAGCCCTACCTGACGCCTGGCCTCGAGGACTGGCTCATCGGGATCAATCTCCCCGGACTGATAGTCGGGATCCTGGAATCGGGATTCCGGCTGAACGGAAGCGTCCACGAAACAGCCAACACTCCTGAACAAGCTCACGGATCTGACGGAAGTTCGAAGTGTACCTCGGGCTGTGAGAATTCAGATTTGCGGCAGCTTCAACTTCTTATCAGCTTGAGCATAAGAAGCCACATCCGCAACTTGCAACTACACGAGCTTTAGATGGGCCTTGCAGAAAAGCTGACCATTGGCGCACCAGCCCTTCGTGACGAGATCAGATGCTGCAGAAACCGGCAAAAGGACCAAATCCTTGGAGGCTTTCTCTGTTCCGTGCGGTTTGATGATTCCTGGAGGATACTCGGAACAAAAGCATGGAGAAGCAATCGGCTCCACGTGAGCACTGGACTCCTCCCACTCACTTCACAAACCGTGCAATCATGGATTTCTGATCAAGTGCCGGCTGATGCCACCGACATATATTGTCAGAACAACGGCGTTCCTTCTTTTAGTCTGTCAGCAGACGAATCTGCATTTCAACTTGTGGCTGGAGGCCTTGCCCAGAAAGCAGAAGAGCAAGTCTTGAGCTCGCGACCCTGATTATCTGATCCATGCTGAGGCCGTGTGCAGCCTGGGCTAGTGCCGTGCTTGCACAGGTCGCCCCTGTACTTCTCCGAGCCTCCGGCCTGCTGACTCTACACCATGCTTTTGAACAAGCTTGAGAGGAGAAAGCTGCAGGCCACAAAGTGCCACAAAGAGCTGTCACTGCGGCTTGATGTCCCGTGACCCGCTATGACACGGGAGTTCTCTCCGAGCAAACCCCTCCTCCGCGTGAGGCCACCACAAAGGCCAGGCGCGCGTCCTCCGAGAGCCGAGAGCTTCCAAGCAGCTGAGACACTTCCAGAAGTAAACTTTTCTTTTGACTTTTTGACTTTTCTTGTGATTCTTGGGACAGGATGGAAAAGCTGAATGTGAAGAGCTTGAGGCTCGAACAGCGCTTTGGAGGCAGACATCTTGGATCGACTCTTCAAAGTAAAGCTTAGTGGCTTCGTAGCGATGGAGTCAGTGACTTCTCAGAAACGAGAGAGGCAGAGCCCGGAGCTCGAGCCCGGCAGCCGCCAATCATCAGAGGTTCCAGGGAGCTCTAACCCACCTTGTCAACAAGGGTCTCCAAGGTAGTGCACGTTGCCCAAAGCCTGGATGCAAAGCTTTACTCTGAGCTCCACGTTTGCCCACACTCCACCAGCTAAACAGAAGCTTGGTATTGGTATGTGCCACTCGGGCTGGCATCAACCACTTAGGGAGCTTCTCCATGACTTCGGATTCCAGCTTTGATCCCTCCTGTAACTGAGGGAGGCACGCATCTTCATCAAGGCCGCCGATGCTTAAAACCTTGCAACCATTGGTTCAAATTCAAGGCTTGAACCTGTTGTTCGAAGTTGTATCAGTCTTCGCCCTACCACAATGCCACGTCCTCCTTGGGAAAAGCCTCCAGATCGAATCAGCTTCTGATGACAGGTGGCCTCGGACAGCAGCACCACCACGCTCTCTGGTTGCACGACCTGCCAGCGACCCGTTTTCTGTGTCCCAAAATGATGACCTCAAAGCATCAATTCATTCAACTTTGCCTCGGCAGCAGCCAGAGCTGACGTTGACTTTCGCCTCGGGCTGACCTGAGAAGTCAATTACACCCATGCCTTACACTTGACACGCTTCCGACTGTTCCCGGAGCTTGACCCAACCTTGTCATGAAAGCGTTGCAATCCAAGCCCTGACCGCTAACCTTTCTTCCAATCTCGGGACGCAACCAGGTGATACAAGGCTCCACAAATGGCCCCACGCACGGCAACCTCCTCGGCGCTGGTCCCCCGACACCTGACTTGGCGGGTTTTAAAGTTCCGATGGCTGAGCCTCAAGGGGATACGGAGAGGTGCACCGACACTACTGCCAGTGCTTTGCAAACCTGCCGCCGTTCACACCATGTAGAAGCCCATCTCCAAGTAAACACTGTCAGTGGCATGGCATGAAAACTTGCGACCGTCAGGTCCCGGGCCCCTCCAGGAGCTCTGCCAGAGACCGCAGCCCTTCCAGAGCATACCTCAGCAGGCACAGGCGCTCAAGCAATGCTGGAACCGTCCGATTATCTGAATCTGGCCAGGATGTTGCACATGTTGCCCTATACATGCGTATGCCCTTGTCCAGGGCTGCAGTACCCCCATCCTCTCCCAAACGGTACGGTTCCGCCCACGCGCGCTTGAGGCGTGCCTGCGTTGCGTGGTTTTTTGCTCCGGTGCGAACCCTATCCCACATGTAACGACAGTCATGTGTACATCAGGACTTCCAGCCATTGCTGCCATGATCCCAGTCTCCGAAAGCCACCGACACGAGAATCACAACCCCAACAGGCTCGATCCCAGGAAATGCGAGGACAGCCAGCTGAGCAGGACTCTCGGACGCCGGATCATACGTACATGTGTGTGGAAAAAAAGACTATATATGCTTAGCTTCGACGGCAAAGTGTGCACACTCTGGCAGGCACAAATTAATCGGATACAGATGCAGGTACGAAACAGACGGACGGATGTGATGACTTTGGGGCATGATGTATTGCGGCAAACAATGATGCACACCTTTACATCCATGTGTGTGTGAGAGTGCATCATACGCGCCAGCACATAATTACAGCTTGTAATAAACCACATGCAAGAAATGCCCTTGCACTCTGGAGACATCTGAAATTGGCTGGAATTCTGCTTGTAATATCTACATGTTTGTATGTGGGGTGTACGCATATATTTATTTATGCGTGTACGTAGGCAGGCAGGCAGGCAGGCAGGCAGGCAGGCAGGCAGGCAGGCAGGCTAGGAGGCAGGCAGGCAGGCACACTGGCAGGCTGGTCGGGAGGAACGTACGCACTTGTGCACCTTTGCATATCTCTACAATTGCATATGTTTTTGTATGTTTATAGACAGATAAATAAATAAATAAATACACATGCATGTGTCTATAGGCTTATAATGTATATCTACCTGTTCAAGCGAATGGAGAAATGGAAATGCACAACTGCAATGCATACCTGTATACATACAGACACACACATGTGTGTATATATATATATATATGCTAACCCCCCCCCCAAGAACTGCCGTGAGGTGCCGCGATAGCTCCACCAATCCTCCCAGGTTTAGGCTTCCGGTGTATGATCCCGGCTTAGCGTCAGGTTTTGAAGCTCCCACGGGACAGCATATGTATATCGGCAGCCGCTTTCATTCTCGATTCTTGCGACCCTTCACGCAGATACTCTGAGAGATCATTTCCACAATGATGAGAGTCATTTCTGTCTGAATACCCGAAGTTGAATATAGGCCCGAACATTAACTAACTCCCAAGATAGTCTTCGCTGTAGTCTCAGATCAAATCCCCAGCGCTACGTATGACTGACCGTGGGCATTGACTGACTTCAATGCCTAAACAACAATATCCCCAAGACTAACCCTGCCATTAGACCTTACATTGGCCCTAACGGTGACAGTAGTCTTGTAGTTCATGTTCCATATTAATGCTGAACGGAATCGAATCCCAATAGCAATGATACTGGAACCTTATTGGCAACATTAATTTGTAACGCTCCGAAACAAATGAAATGCACATTCCTTGCTAGGAAAACCTTGGGTTTGGAGTGAAATACCAACATTTCCTAGGAAAAAGATTGTTTTTGGCCGAAAACCCAACCTTCTCCTAGCGAAAAGATGGTTTTGGGCAGGAAAACCAACTTTTCCTAGGGAAAACCAAAAAAACAAAAAACACATCTTTTGGTAATGTTCTCTTGATATGTGAGCTTGGTTTTGGCAGTCTTTGACAGATACAGAATCCGGACCTGCCGGCAAAGCAGGTTTAACACGGTATTTACGAGCAAAACGAGGGTCGGTAGTTCATGGGGGGGTTACCATATATATATATATATATATATCTACATACATACATACATACATACATACATACATACATACATACACGAAGCCGTCGGTAAGTAGGTTGGAGCTGCTGCTTAAACACACGGTTCCAGTTTCTTCTCAGTACATTCACGTATTTGTCTAATGTCCTGGAGAACTCGTGAAAACACACTTAACCGATGATGCGTGCCAATATCCACAACTTTCGTTGAACCCAGCCAGGCACCTCGAGGTAAGAAGGGGCTGTCTCAGTCGTGCTTGTGTGGGTGATACTTGTTTGTGTCGTGAGGGTTGTAGTGGTCGAGGTTTGAGTCGTGCCGTTGTCCTTCCTGTAGACATCAAGCGTAGGCGGGTGCGTCAGCAGGCTGTCATAGCAGTTGTTGATGTCATCCCTTGTACCACAATCCTTGGCGCCCAAACACAGAGCACCTGGCTCAGCAATCTGGCAATCCACAAGGGACACCTCGCCATCACGAGGACAATCGGCCACTGGTGCTGGGCGTAGGGACAGACCATCGAAACATGATGGAAGGGGCTCGACGCAAAGCTCCCAGCCTGTGTTGCTGTCGATACTATCCGATTTCCACACGATGTCTGTCCACACAACTAAAACCTCACCGGCCCTCAGCGGGGTGTTGGAGCCACTTCCTGGGATTCCCGAGTATCTCTCGCCGTTCACCGTGAGAACGTCATAGGTGGCTTCGGTGGCAAAGTCCATCACACGAAGCACGGACGGCTTCGGCAAGGAGATGTTGCACTGCTGCATGGAGCCGTAGTAGGACGGGTAGTTCGGACTGCTTATGCATGGACCACGTGCAACGCAATCTCCAGAATGGTTCCATGCTACACTCACTGGCCAGTGCAACCCTGTCACATCGTCTTGACCGCCGGCAGTTGGTCGAACAGATCCTGGGCGAAGGACACAACAAAAAACAAACTGGAAGCGAATATCTTTTCCACCAAAATGAACTGCTTACAAATGAAATGAATCTTACAAAGGAATCCTTTGGTATCTCAGCTTTTGGAATTCCATCAGATTTTGCTAGATGATAATGAAAGGTAAGATCTCATTTGTAAAGGTTTAATTTGTAAGTGGTTCCTTTGTGTAATGGTATTTGGGCTTGTTTTGGACTGCATTTGTAAAGGTGTGGTCCTGCTCGTATAATTTTTATGAAATTCGAATGGTTTACGTAATTGCAGAATTTTGTTCATTTGCACAAGACCCGGTATCTTGCACAATTTTCACTTGCATTACTTAAGTGTGCACGGAAAATATTTGTGGTTCTTGCCTCCCGCCTGGGATGGCCTGTTTCTAACTTAAATCTGTTGGTGAAACCTCTTTGTTCTATTCACCTAACATTCTGGCCTTTTTGTCCTTAGTTTATTTAGCCCAACCTTTTGAATGTAACCACATGCATTTTACTTGTTCTTCGGCCCATGTTGCGTCTGCTTGCCATACCTTCCGTCAAGCCCACGGTCTGGCATTGCGCCCTGACGACATCAAGACATACCACAACACATGCAACCCCGACGTGCGAAACCTCCAAAGCCCCCAGCTCCTGAAGTCTTTCCGAGTCTCTACGCCGTCTCCCCCAGCTGTTGAGCTGGCGCGGCAGTCCTCTCTCCAAGTGCTGGGCCCTGACAGGCTCGAGGTCACAGCAAGCCCAAGAGTTGCTGTTGCTTCGTTTTTCTGGCTCGATGCGGGAAGGAACAGGGAGTTTTAATTTGAGCTTTGGTCGCCACAATTGCTGAACCTGTACAAAGTAACGATATGCATCAGCCCGGTGCGAAGACGCAACACCTTTGGACATTGTTGATTGTTGAAGGTTGCCTGGAAGTCGTAAATCCCAGACATTGTTTTGAGCATTTCCACAGGCATGTTAACAGCTTCCTGCCATTGTGCAGTAGCTTCCATCGCACGGCCTTACATCCAAAACATTGCCATGCTAGACTTAGAAACGTGGACCTTCAGACTCGGCAGCCGGTATATAGCTGGAGGACCATACGAACCGGTTCATCAGGCTGAGCCACCTGCACATGCCCAAACTCCATGAATCCAAACACCCAAGTCATGGAAAGCTCTAATTTGCGACTCGACTCGGAAACCCTGCACGCTTCCGTACAGCAGCGTACGAAACCTGACCCTGAGCCTTTGATTCCATGCAAGTGTCGCACGTGTCAAGAAAGTCAAGTCCTCCCTCCGAACCAGAAAATGGCACACTCATCTAGCACCTCTCAGTGTTTCGGCCTGGTACCACCGCTGCCTGTGGCATCCACGTGCCCGGATTTACCGCGGAGGCTTCTCGTTTCTTGCCTCAGCGCTATCGGTTTGGGGCTTTGGCCGATCAGCTTGAGCCCTGCAGCTTCTTCTCAGATTCTCAACTAACTGAAATTTGCGAACCTCGTCGCAAAGAAAACTGCAAGTGCATGGCACACAACATGGACACTCAACGGTCAGGATGGTGAAGCAGCTGTTGAGCGGGGAGCTGTACCGAATAGGGAGATCTAACTAAAGCAGCTGCACCTGTGACGTGGCAGCCTTTCGAGTGGCTAAGGAAATCGTACTTGCACTGGTTAGTTGGTCCCGGTAGCGCAGGAGTCGAGATGGGAGCCATCTCAGCAGGATGATCTGAGCTTCCAGCTGAAGCCAGGCTCGACTACTGCCCGAGGTGCTTCTGTCGCAGTGACCGTCGAAGTTGATAGTGTGATGAACTTAAACGAGTTTCTTCAAAAGTCGGCTCCAGGGTCGTGTCCCCAATCGTAAGTGTAGGTTGCGCATGCTGTGGGAAGGGGACATCCAACCGTGAGACGGCTGGGAACACATGCCACGGAAGCTGCACGCTACGTGCACGTCATTGTGTGGGTCTAGGACTCTAGGAAAACCGAGCTATGGTCCTCGACCTTCAAGATCTGAGCTGCTGTACAAGTGAAGGCAGTGCCCCAGCCAAGGAAGCCCACAGAAGCAACTGCCAACCAAGAATGCCCATGGCCGTATACTGCTTCGAGCTGACAACGATCCTTGAGTCTACTGTAGACCTTGAAATGCTGGGTTGGACCTGTGATGAGCTGGGCTCGTAACAGTAGAATCACATGAACATCGCTACTCCGCCGAACCACCGATCAGATGCTTGATCCGAAGCAAGCAGAAGATGCCAAGCTTGGGAGATCATGTGCATCAACAGGCATGAACCCTGATCTCAGGCGGTGCTTGTCTGAATCTGTTCGATCCGT